CCCAGAGAACAAAACACAATAAAGATGGAATTACAAATTTGAAGAACTTTAAAAATCATTTGACATCACTCTATTCACAATAAAAATTTTAAAAACAAAAAAGACCAGGATGAACTATTGAAAAAAAAAAAAAAAAGTGTGACAAACATAACATCATTCCTTGGGTTAGAAAGATGACAGGGCTTAGTCTAACCTTTGTTGTCAAAGAGAAGCTCTTATACAGAAAGATTTGCTTAAATACTTAAATCCAACTGTTTGGTGGTTTATAGACGATGATAAACATTGCAGTTTGAAGCGCCTTTCTTTTCCTTCTAAGACCTTATGTTTTCTAATTCATATTGCTCATAGAGCACAGAAAAAGAAAAGCAGTGAAAAAAATTGCTTCTCTGACTTTTGGCTGAGAACAAGTGTAAAAAGGAGACAGAATCATAAAGAGTATTTTAAAACAGTCAAATAAGTAAAACACAATGTGGCTTAGAAATGCGTACCCTAAAAATAACAACAACAACAAAAAACCCCACCAAACTAGGATAAGTAAATCACAAGTGATATTTAACAATGAGAAGATAATTCATTTGTGTATCTTTGAGGAATAAAGCATGAAAGAAAAATAACGCCAGAAAAAAATGATAGATTGAATGTATAGAGTATATTTTACTAAAGTCCCCAAACTTGAAAAAATGACAGCAAAAGATTTTTAAAAGGCTATAAACCAATAAGGCCAGAGAACAGCAAACAAAGTTTGGAAGTTGGGTACTACACAGATGGGAACTGTCAGAAGTTCAAGCCGGATTAAGAAGAGGCTGTGGAACAAGGGATATCATTGCTGTCAGATGGATCTTGGGAAAGCAGAGAATACCAGAAAAATGTTTACCTTTGTATTATTGACTATGCAAAGGATTTCAATTGTGTGGATCATGACAAGTGTGGATAACATTGCAAAGAATGAGTATTCCGGAACACTTAATTGTGCTCATGAGGAAACTGTACACAGACTAAGAGGCCGTAATTCAAACAGAACAAGGGAACACTGAGTAGTCTCAAATTAGGAAAGGGCAACTTAGACATTGGCTACCTAAAATGGGGG